CTCTCCTTTCATGGTGGATGAGAGATCAGACCCTTGATAAAATTTCATGCCCACCCACACCTGGCAACACTGGCTTTCTAGGAGGGGAAAAATATTTTTTGCTTCTATGAATACATCCATGATGCAAAGGTTGGAGATCAGGAAGGAAACAGAGCAACATATATTTCCCTCAAACAGATGTATCAAAAAAGAAAAGAGAAATATTTTTTTAATGTCTGGGAAGTAGAAATTAAAAACACACTATCCATCAATGAATTTAGTGTATCTGAAACTCCTCTGAGACCTAGGAAAACATAAAGTTCTGCCCTTTGCTCTTCTTTTCAATCTGCCTGGGTAAGCTCACTTTATGAGGCAGCATAATTTGCAGTGACCTTTTGTGAAGCTGTTGCTACACTTCCTGCTTCACTGGAAACCACCTTTTTAGCCATGCATGACATGACTCCACATACATTGGAGTATAAATTTCAGGCTTTGTTGCCAAACCCTGAAAAGTAATCTGGTGTGGTAGACGGCAGTACCAGTACAGGACACAGTCGGTACCGCGGGGCTGCAGAAGACGGTGCTGCGGGATGGTTTTTGAAGTCTGGGTGGCCCTTGTTGCATAAATGCATGGAATCAATGGGGGCGGGGGATAAAAGAAGAATTTAAAACTAATAATGTCAGCAATCTGCTTTTCTCTGGATTGCTGGGAGGGAGAAAAAACATTTCTTATGTAATTCCCACTTTTAAAAAATCTTTATATGAATTTGATTTCCTCTTGGGATATTCAGGGTGTTCAGATAACCTAATACATTTCTAAGGAGAGCTGTTTCACTGTCTCTTTCTTCATCTTTTATAATTATTATTCTGCCCCTTACTTGTGCAGAGGAAAGATAATGCAATTTTATAAAACGATTTTCAGACTTACTCCACATGTGAGTATTAAAGTGTACCTCTGTCCGAATATATCCAAAGCCTCATATCCATTTAAACATCTACTGAGTTTTTAAATCTTGTTTTTGCCATATATAAAATGGTAAATGTATATATTTTCTCATAAAAATGCAGGCCCTTCTACTGTCAGCGGAAGTTTTTCTTTGGCTGTAACTGTTTCAGGCTTTCAGCTCTCACATGTGTGGACTACAGAGGCAAATGTGACATAATAATACGCGTATTTTCTTAACATAGTAGAAATTATTATATATTGTTATTTTCATATAAATATTTTTTTCATATTAATTATACTTAATAGAACAGTGCAAAGCAGTCTGAAACACTCTTGAAATTACTCAAGAAATCCTGTCTGAAGGCTGTGCAGTGAATTTACCCTTGGAATTTGCTGAAATCATACTGACCAGATGGTTAGTTAATGTTCTTTGCTTGCTTTCTTTATCTCTCTTTATTTACCTTTATTTATCTCTTATGTGGTGAAGATCTTTGAGGCTTCTTTTTTTCTTTGGTTAAGGAAATAAGCTGAAGTATCAGTGATTTTTCTACTTGTGGAAATTATACACTGTGATATATTTTTTTCAAGTAAAGCGCTGGCCTAGTAAAGTAAGAAATGTGTTCAAATCTCTCTAGGATCAACACTATACTTTTTAGATGCATCCTCCTTCACTTAAATTACGTCTGCAAAGTTCTTAAAAATATTAACTGAAAATTACAGTTTCCTGAAGCTACAGTGTAGTAATAGGAAATTAATTCATTTATATCCTAAAAAGTTTAAACTGTAGAGTGCATAGTCTTGGAGCAAAAATGCCTAGAAACTGTTCCTGAGTTTGATAAAAAAGAGGAATTTTTATGAAAATAATGAAAAGTATGGAGAAAATATTGACAAGGTGGAAAAAAAAAAGTTGGCATATTTTTTCAATCAAAATAATAATCACAAATTCTTTAATCTGAATTTCAAGACTTTTCAGCTGGAATCTGAAAAATTCTGTTTTGAAATGCCACCCCAGTGCATCTTGGAAATTGCTCTTTGTGAGTTCTTGCTGCTTTGCTCACGTAACAGGCTGGTGTTCCTGGACAGATTGTATGCCCATGGGTGCCCCATGGGACTGATGGGACATTGCAAGGGATTTTGGGAAGTCAGCAGTCACAAACAGCGTGAGGAAGTTTGCCCACATGGCAGGTTTGGCCAGTGGCCCCAGAGCAGTAGGTACAACACATTCCACCTTTAACATCCAGTGAGATGTTACATCAACACTTCAGATTAAAATGTTTTCCTTTCAGTCAAAGGTTGAAGTCACTAACTTTGGTTAGTCCAAAAGCCTGAAACCTTCCAGTTTGCAAAGGCTTTTCTTGTTGGCTAGACTTTAAGCTTTTCACAGAATGCAGCTTTCTTTTCAATTTAAAATAAAAATAGATAGAATCTGTTCACCTCACCAAATGTACCACCAGTGTATTATTTATGATAGCTAGGGAACAAATTGTGTAGCCCTGTTGTATATTACATTTATCCCAACCATTTGACCCCTAACTATGTTCTTTCTACTTTGTTCTTGTGCTTTTCCCTTTGTTTCATCCACATGAAGAATTTTTCTAAGCAGTTTGAGAGCTTTTTTGAGCAATTGCTGTAGAAAAGTCACCCTGCCAAGAGAGTATCTTTTTCCACAAATGGATCCATTCCTTTTTCCATTTTTCCATTCCTTAGAAGAACACCACCAATAACAATAAAAATAATAGATGCATCAAAAGATATGCCACTGTAAGGCTTAGGATGAGAAAACTTTGGTGAATACTAGAAACAAGTGTAACATTCTGCATATAGTTCTCTGAAAGATTGTAAGTCAAAATCATATCATTTAATATACACAGAGAAGTGGTACTGTCATATATTATGAGATATGACTACAGTCCCTGCAGCATTTCAGCTCTTTTTTTCCTTGTCATCTGTGCAGCTAATATCAGATGACAACGCTGAGGTCCACCAATTCTTTGCTAATGCCCTGCTCAAAACTAAGGCCAGCATGTGACATGCATTCTATCTCTCTCCTGCACCTCTTGCTTGCTTTATCTTGCTCCCTCTCAGATGCAAATATATATATCTTTATTTGCCTCTCATGCATATTTCTAAGCATTAACAGTGGTATACAGTCTTATCTTTTTACAGGAAGAATTCAGAACACTACCTTTAGTCATGTGAGATCATTTTCTTATCTCTGAGAAAGCTATTTATAAGGGTCTTGACTGAGGAATGAAAGAAAGACTAAAGCAGTTCAGTGGAAATTATCTTCTTAATGGTAAAATCTGAATTATACATTAAAGTACCATTTATTCAATGAATTTTATTATTCTGTTTAAAAAGGCAGAGATTTTTACGTGTTTTGTATGCTTACAAAGGTTTATTAGCTTGAGTAAAAGATTATTATTATTCAATTGAATAATTGAATTTTAAATTATTGGTATTGCACTTCTTATTATAACTGCTTTTTTCAGATGCATTTAATTATGTCAAATTTGCCTTTTAATCCCCTGTCTGGAGACCATTTCCTGGAATCACGCACTGTTTCTCACCCTTTGTAGTGGTATCCTAATGAATACACACAGTCCAGTCTCACATCTTCCATGTAAATTACTGTGTATACCTCTTCTAGTCAGATCACATCGGAGGCTGTCTGGTGTCATATAATCCTGGATACTGATATGTGAAAAAAATCTTTTCAGGTGGTTAATACCATAAGCATCTAGTTTTCCTGCAAAGAACTATTGCAGGACTGCAGTGTTTATGTGAATGCCAGACTTAGGGATATGAAATGGACATTTAGAAAAGCTAATAATCTGCGCCTAATCCCCTCCACGAATTATCTGTTGGTATTTCTAGAAATAATTGAGGCTTTATTTCTTGTCGCTAATTGAATCACATATTAATTTATTAGATGCATTGCTCATTATAAAACTTGGAACTTTGCTATAAATCTCATTGCATGGGTGAAATAAATCCATGTAAAGCTACATGGTAAATACCTTTGCATTTGAAACATATATTAAGTAAAAAAAAAAAAAAAGTTACAAAATAACTGTGCTTTGGCGTTTGTTTACTTGCTTTGTTTGTTTGTTTGCTTAATGCTTGAGCAAATGTGACCTTCGAAAAAGGTTTCTCATTTGCTAGAAACATAAGACTTGCCCTTGACTGCACACTTGAAAACTGTGATTCCTGGGCATAACACTGAAATTCTTGATTAAGATAACAAACAAGACACAAACCAATACAACATAATAAAATATGAAGGTAGACAGCCCCGAATGGAATATTCTGTGAACACTGATTCTTCTTTGCTATTTTCAACACCTCACTGGTAACGTTAGCGTGGCCAGCAATGCTGCAATTGCTCCCATGTACCTATGGATTACATAATTGTCTGCTGTCATTAGGCTGCTTCTGAGTTTTTCCCTCAGACGGGGGCTCTCCATTAACTTCTCTGGAAGCAAGGATCAGCCTTCCTCAGCATTCCATAATTTCAAACAACTTATTTTGAAAAGTAATCATTGATTTCTGAGATTTGACATAGGATAGGAAGCACTTTAAAAGTGGCTTTGAATGCTCTTAATTAGCTGAAGAATTACAGGCTCATTCCTCTTTTACACTGCCATTACAAGCATTTATCTACACTGATTTCAACAGAGTTACTTCTGTTTTACACTGGTGTGAGGGAACAAAAAATGAAGTTGTATAAATTGTTAACAGCTCTTTCATACTGCCTCTTTATTACCAGATAAAACTTTGATGAAGGACATTCACAGAAGATCAATATGAGAAACCGCATAAGACTTGACTTTTATGCTACTGGCTGATACTGAAAATCACAGAAATAAGTATTTGTTTTTGAAGCTCTTACTTAAGCCGATGATTGGTTTGATGTTGTTTTTCCTGAAGGGAATATTTCACTTTTAGGAGATGTACTGCCCTCTGAGTAAAGTTACTCCACGGCTACAATTGCAGGGATGTGGGAAAGGGAATGGAGTGCAGTTGTTCATCTTGTAATGAGCAACCTCATCTGACAGCCTTTGTTTGATGGAATAAGGTTTCTCTGCTTTCTGTGGATGCTGCTCCTGGCTGATGTGTCGCACTGCTGTTGGTATCCTAGGAGGCTTTGCAGGAAAGGCTGTGTGTCTCAGGAGGGTAACTGGAGGCTTTGGGGAACTTTGGGGTCTTCTTCCAAAGAACTGGGAAATCACCTCATTGACAGCAATCTTCACCTGTAATTTATAGAGGCCAGTGCACAGCTGTGGGGTAAACAAATGGTATTGAACTGGCCGGTAATATACTGCCTGTGAGCTAATATAGCTCAGGATATATTCACTGCCAAAAGTAAATTAAAAATTTTTCTCGAGATTCACTTAGATAGCAGTGTTTGTTTATGTAGCGGTTTATCTGTGTATGAAGAAGTGAACTGGAGTTAAAGTGCAACTGCAATCACATATAGTAATGCAATTCATATTAATATTCCTTTAACCTAATAGCTGGCAAATACACGTCTCTGCACTTCTAGCAGTCTGCCTTATTCGTTCCTGTCAAACGAAGAGCAAACATTTTATCACAAGTTTGTTGAGTGTTTTCCTAATAAATCCCAAGCCCACTAACACTGAAGGTTACAGAGGTGGCTATTTTTAGAAAGTTTACTCTTCACACACTTAATCAAGACCATCATACTTTACTTGCTTTCCTCCAACCGTGACTAAGTTCCACAGTCTTCGAAATCCAAGCATTATGAAGTGGAAATGCCTGTGCAGGAAAGCGCTCTGATATAACTTAGTCTTGATGACAGGTTTAATCCCAAGATCAGCAGAAACTCAGTTGTTCTCCTTTTTCTGCCTGAGGTAGTTGAAGAGGACATCCAGCCCCCCCTCAACGACCTCAGGCAGGGGTCGGGACAAGGGGTTGTGGGCGATGTGGAGGCCTTTGTCCATTGGGTTCCATGCGATGCGTGGCAGCCGGCGCAGCAGGTAGAGCTCATCCGGGAGAGTTTGTATGGCATTGTAATCAACATTTAGTAACTCCAGAGCAGTGATGAAGCAGAGAGACCGTGGAAGGGTGCGTATGTTGTTATTCTCTACAATAAAGATTTGCAGATTGACCAGATACTGGACACTCTCTGCAATGTTTTCAAGCCTGTTGGACCCTAGGTGCAAGAAGTCTAAGCTTCTCAGTGCAAAAATGCAGAGCGGAATTTGCACAAAGCGGTTGTTACTGAGGTTCAGTTTCCTCAAACTTGTCAGGTCGGTGAAGCTCAAAGGCAGTTGTGAGATGTAGTTGTGTGAGAGGCTCAAAACCTCCAGCTTTCTGCACAAGCTGAGCTCTGCTGGCACTTCTGTCAGGCAATTCATATTGACGAACAAGACCTTCAGGTTCCTCAGCAACCCAATCTCTTTAGGCAGAAACTTGAGGCAGTTGCCACTCAAGTTCAGCACTACAAGCCTGTCCAGTTTCCCCAGTGAAGGAGGAATCACCACCAGCTGGTTACGTGAAAGGTTCAGTTTCTGTACCTCAGGGAGTCCCCACAAGAATTCAGGCGTGCTGGTCATCCCTTTCATTATGAGGCTCAAGCTGACATAACGCAATCCCCGTTTCAGCAGTGACTTGGGCTCTTTCCCTGAGAGAAGAGCATCTTCCCATGCAGGCAACTTTGGACCTTTCCTCAGAAAAACCATGCTCCTTTGGCCCTCGTTCTTTGAATGCTCAGTTCCCATAACACCCTGGATCCCTCCTGAGAGATGAAGCGAGGTTTTCTTCCCTTGCAAGTACTACACCAACAAGCAAATGCCAACAGAGGATGACAGCTTGGAGGCAGGAAAGTCAAAGCAAGGAGACGAGGAGGAGCCTGTGAAGTGCACCTCAGTCCACTGGGGTAGTTTCCATAGCTGCTAAGGGAAAGTTTCACTTTTGGGGGCTTATGCTGGTCTTGGTGCACAGTCTGTACAGTCTGTAATGAAATACTTGCTCCTGACTTATGAGCAAACCTGTTCAATTCAAACTGAATGCCACAAGGCAGCTGTCACTGTCATTTGGCCTGGGTTTTATTGGACAGATATGTATCTTCACTGCAAAAAGGTCACAAGGATGCTGTATATAACTTCACCATGTCAGCTTTCTTGGCTATCTGGTACATACCATGGCTGCAGGACAATTAACAAGAGTGACTTCAAAAAACAAACAAGCAAGCTACAGAAGAAAACAAGCAAACAAAGAACTCATCATTTCAATTCAGATTTAAAGGACATTTTCACAATCATTTTTATTTTGATGTTCCTCATTTCACTGAAATAACTACCAATCCACCAGAAAACTGCATGCTGCAAAAATGCTGGTAAAAACTTTTCATGTGAGTCCTTGTTTTCTGTACAGTTAAAAGGAAGAAAAAGTTAATGCTCATAAAAAGTTTTAGCTTTATATTCCTTTTGGGGTGAGGATAGGCCTCTTTCTTTTGAGAAAGGGTACCACCGTCACTGCAGCAGTGACATTTTCCAGTGGTATCTGCGCCCACTTGGATGATTGCTTGCTACCCACGTTGCCAAGTGTGAGCAGTCATACCACGCATTTCTGTCCAAATCACTCTGTCCTGAACGTCCTGTGCTACTTTCACATCTATCAGTGACATTTTTGGGGTCCGATTCTTCTGTATGTTGGAAAATGTAGCCACTTGATGTCCATTTCCTCAGGAACTTTCCTGGCTTTCTGGACTTTTCAGTGGTACAGGGGGACCAGCAATCAAATAGCTTGAACTATAGATGACATTTAACTCCGGAATAGGGGGACTGATGGGAGAGGAAGGAAGCAGTGAGGTATAATAATACCTGATAACAGCTGAAGCTAGCTCTAATGATGAGAGGAAATTGTATTGCTACAGAATATGCAGGGAGTTTAAACTCAAAGGGACCCTGAAAAGGATACGCAAAAATGTCAGGCACCATTTAAACTAGGTGAAAATTGCAGTAAATAGTGCAAGACTTTCAGCGGTTTTCCTCTCCAGTGGATCTGTGGTGATGGAGATACTTTCCTGCTGCCTGAGGCATTTGATGATGGGTGTACCCTCCCCATCACCTCATTTAGGGTGCTAAAGGAACTGGCTGGGGTGCTCACCAAGCTGCTTTCCATCATTTACCAGCAGTCCTGGCTGACCAGGGAGGTCCTGACAGATTGGAAATTGGTCGATGTGACGCCCATATATAAGAAGGGTCAGAAGGATGATCTGGGAAATTACAGGCCTGTCAGCTTGGCTTTGGTGCCCACATGGTGATGGAGCAGCTCATCCTGAGTGCCATCATACAACACATGTGGGACAGCCACATGACAGGGCCCAGTCAGCATGGGGTTATGAAAGGCAGGTCCTGCCTGACAAACCTGATCTCCTTCTACAACAAGGCGACCTGCTTATTGGATGAGGCAAAAGCTGTGGATATTGTCTACCTTGACTTCAGTAAGGCCTTTGACACTGTTTCCCACAGTATTCTCCTGGCAAAACTGGCTGATCGTGGCTTGGATGAGCACACGCTTTGCTGGGTAAAAAACTGTCTGGGTGGCCGGGCCCAGAGAGTTGTGGTGAACGGAGTTAAATCCAGTTGGCGGCCGGTCACGAGTGGTGTCCCCCAGGGCTTGGTGTTGGGGCCACTCCTGTTCAACATCTTTATTGATGATCTAGACGAGGGGATCGGGGGCACCCTCAGTCAGTTTGCAGATGACACCCAGTTGGGTGGGAGTGTTGATCTGCTCGAGGGCAGGGAGGCTCTGCAGAGAGACCTGGACAGGCTGGAGCCATGGGCTGAGCCCAACTGGAGGAGTTTCCATAAGGCCAAATGCCGGGGGCTGCCCTTGGGCCACAACAACCCCCAGCAGTGCTACAGGCTTGGGGAGGAGTGGCTGGAGAGCTGCCAGTCAGAGAGGGACCTGGGGGGTGTTGATTGACAGCCGGCTGAACAGGAGCCAGCAGTGTGCCCAGGGGGCCAAGAAGGCCAATGGCATCCTGGCTTGTGTCAGCAATAGCGTGGCCAGCAGGGACAGGGAAGGGATCTGACCCCTGTACTGGGCACTGGTGAGGCCGCCCCTCGATTCCTGTGTTCAGTTTTGGGCCCCTCACTACAAAAAGGACATTGAATGACTCGAGCGTGTCCAGAGAAGGGCAACGGAGCTGGTGCAGGGTCTGGAGCACAGGTCGTACGGGGAGCGGCTGAGGGAACTGGGGGTGTTTAGTCTGGAGAAGAGGAGGCTGAGGGGAGACCCCATTGCCCTCTACAGCTACCTGAGAGGAGGTTGCAGAGAGCTGGGGATGAGCCTCTTTAACAAAGTAACAAGCAATAGGACAAGAGGTAATAGCTTCAAATTGAGCCAGGGAAGGTTAGACTGGATATTAGGAAGCATTTCTTTACAGAACGGGTTGTTGGGCATTGGAATGTGCTGCCCGGGGAGGTGGTGGAGTCCCCATCCCTGGAGGTGTTTAACAGTCGGGTCGACATAGCGCTGAAGGATCTGGTATAGTTGGGAACTGTCAGTGCTCAGTTAACGGTTGGACTAGATGATCTTCAAGGTCCTTTCCAACCTAGATGATTCTGTGATTCTGTGATTTCAGAGAGCATCACTTTAAAAACCTTCATGAGCTCACATGCTAAAGGAGAATGGATGAAGCTGCAGCTGGGAGTTGGGGCACTCCAGCAGTCTCTCTGGAGTCAATCCCCACAGTCCCTTCTTACTGCCAAGCACCACTCAGTCTCTTTTCTGTTTTGGGTCCCTCACAGAGATGCACCTGCTTGGCAGGAGAGGGAAGAAAGGGGGCACCCCTGCAGTTGTGTGTGGTGAGTGGGATCCTACAACAGGAGAGGAGCCAGGACCACAGACAGAAGTGTGAGATGTGGCGAGCTGAGTGAGCCATGCAATTAAAACATATGCCTTAAAAAGGATGTATTGCATAAAACCCACCAGTCCTGAGGCTGAAATACTGCATTCCGTTGAGTGCCTGGACAAGCTGTTTGGTTAGAGTGGGTTGGCAGCCTGATGGAGAATCACAGATCCCTCCCTTGCAAGCACTTTCTGCCAATATTTTCAGTTTACAAACAAACATTATATTAAATCCCATTGCAGCCATAAGCTCTGATTTGTGTTCTGGTTAACTATCATTCAAATGTGCTGCCTGGAGTGGCAGAGGTTACCCTGCTGCTGTAGAGTAGCCACTCAGTGGGGGAGAGGAAACCCAACGGCATGCCAAGCTTGGGCCAGGTTTGACGTTGCATGACAGGGGGACCTAGGGCTAAAATGTGGCCCTTCAGCCCAAGCAGGTGGAGAAGAAAAACTGAGCCTCTCATGAGTTCTGACTCTGGGTTGTTTGCCCAGCTGCTCTTAAAAACGCACCTATTATTAGACAGCTTAAATTAATTTGAACAAGGCCTTTCCTTCCGCAGCAGCAAACCCAAAGGGAAGAAAAATGCCTTTTAGGGAGCATTTACGAAGTTCAGCATTTCCCTTCTTTTAATCACACTGCTGGAACAAGGAATCTGCTGCAGCTCTGCCCAGCAGCCCACAGCCCTCCCTGTGTCTGGGCTCACATGTGCATCCACATCCCCATGGTCCCTTCAGAGCTCTTCCTTCTGGAGGTCACTTTTAGTAACAAATGAAAACAAAACACAAAGGAAGCACAGTCTCCCTGTAGTCACAGTCTCCTCCCTGGCTAGCCAGATATTTTTGGATGAGAACGTTGTCCTCATCTCCAAAATGCATTAGAGTTCACTGCCTGAGGACTTGGCAGGGCCAGGTCCAGACTCTCACCACAGAAATCCCCATTTCCTAACAGCATGACTCAGCCAAAGCACTCTGTACCCTTCCCTGGTTTTGCATCACGCCGCCGATTTGAAACTAAGCCTGTGATACAGCCTGGTACAGTCTGAGTAGAGCTGTTGTTGGAAAGCTTCACCTGGGGCTCTCTATCAAACAAAAATACTTGTTCTGCTTCAGTCTCACAGTATCTTGTGCTATCACATTGCTGTATCTCTACTGCCTGTCAGACAGCAGCAGCAACAACAACAACGGGGATTTTAAAAAGAAATTTCACATCTGCAGTTTCCATTGTCCGGTTCCCTTCCTGCCTCCGTGAGTACCGTAACTGCTGCGTGAAATAAAAAAAAAAATAACCATTTCCTTTTCTTTGTTCTCCAACAGAAAAACAGGCTATTGAGCACCCTTGCAGTTGTGGAGACGGGAAACTCTGAGGTAACCAAATTAAATTCCTTTCTTGAAATCAGGATAATAAAACCACAGTGGCCTCATCTGGACATCTCAGGAACTAAATTTCTGAACAAAAATAGCCCCTTATCTGTTGGTGTCCTGGACTGGTTTTGTTCAAACACTTTTCAGTTCCCCTTTCTCTGCGCAGGCTGCTGCCCTGCCCTGCCCTGTGCTGTGCTGTGAGGCTGAATTCATTCCTTTGGGTCACTCTTAGGTAGCTGGGCCAGTGAAACACTGACCTGTGTTGACACAGACTGGCAGAAAGCAGAAATGAATTTCATGCTCGCAAGTTTGTCAGAGGAAAAAAACCAAACCAAACCAAACCAACAAATCGGTGGGATTTACATGATACAGTGTAGTTGATAATTGCTTCATGGATTAAATAAAAATGTTAGTGTGTGTATGTATGTGGGAAATGACCCAAAACTTACTGAAGAACTTTGTACTCTAATATAATAAGAGAAACTGTGCTATTAGCAATGATAAAAAACCTGGTA